ATATTTCCTGTTAGGAAAATGCCTGGTAGAAATTATACTGACTTGAATTTGGCCATCAGAATTTTTTTTTTCCCATCTAGTGCAAGGTGGAATGCAGAGAGCAAACACATTCCAGATGTTCCTGCAAAAGAGGGAAAAAAACCCCATCAGAAGCAAAAAATGGGTAAGGTATGGGAGATGTAACAGATAAGAAAGAATGAAAGGAACAGATAAAAAGGACCTTATGTTCTTCCTTGAGACTGACAATGACAGAGATGCTACAAAAAGCACAGGAGCATTACAGAATGCTGCAGAGGTATTTGTTGTTCTGTCAGATTAGAAATAGAAATAACTCACTAGTCTGAGCCTGGGGGACACTTACATAAGACTTCAGTCTAAAAGTTTTCTCCTGTAAGATATAAGAACAAAGAGAGAAAATGAGTAATACAGAAATATGTTGTGCTGCGTCAGTTTTCTCCTATCTAAATATTTTTATAAATTTTGTTAATACCCCTTTTAAAAATCCATTTAAAAATACAGAATTTGAAATATGTCTGTCTGCTAACTGTTCACTGCACTTGGAAGTTGAGGAGGGCTGTGACTGTGCCATAAAATGGGCTGTAGCTGCCTGGCCAAAAATCTTCTCCATGTGGTGACAGTACCTTCAGCCAGCTGGCAGAGCTTGCATCAGCTCCTGGCCTTCATTTCCCTGTCACAGAAACACAGCAGAAATCTTTTCAGAAGAGGGAAGGACTGGAATTACCAAGCCAAACCTCTGTGTTCAAAGCCATCTACTGAAAAAATTCCTCAAAACCTTGCTATTTGCTTAGAAAGAAAACAATGGGGTAAAATAAAATCATCATGAGCTTCTTCCTCTCTTTTCCCCAGGTAATATAAAAGCATTCCTTGCCACTAGTTATGCCTTTCAAACAGTTTTGACAGAATGGCTGGGGAATAACACTTTCATGTTTAATTACAGCACATTTAAGGTGTTTCTGTTTGTGTTCTCATGCATTGACAGGAGAGCAGGTAGATCACATCAGTCCCTGACAGTTCAGTGGTTGTGAATATTACACTCCTTGGATTTACATCCTTTATTAGATCCAATTCTGCATGCATGTTTCACGTCTAACATAGTGCTTTGTTTTTAAATCTTAATTTTCTCATTTGCTTATAAATGTGAAAATAACTCTATCCTTTAGCCATTGTTCAGATTTAATGCCATTTAGAATAGTCCTATTTTTCCCTTTATAAAAGTCCTTTATTAATTTCAGTCATCACAGGGGGAATTTTATATAATCAAAAGCCCTATATATACACAAAAATTTTCCAATACATGAGATTATATTTTCAGATGAAACCAAACTGCAGCAGTTTGGGGGAAGCAATCTCAGTCTGTCTTCATATAAAAGCCGGGTTCAGCACTTCTCTTTGTGTGTTGCTCTGGGACCTCAGAAGGAAATGTTATTTTTCACAGCACTGGTGGTGAAACTGAAAATTTACTTATAGCACCATCCTAACAATCCTTTTCTACAAGATGCTAGATAATAAACTGCCTTTTTCTTAGGTGTTTTAGGCTCAAAATCAGTAAGAGTTTTTAATTTATGTTGCAGCTAGGTGACCTGGCCTTTACCCCAGAAATTCACTAAAGACATAGCAAAGAAATGATGGTCAGATATTTTTGCCTCTCATATCAGCGGAAGTTTTCTCTGTCCTCCAGGTAACTCTGTAACCTTGAAGCTGGAGCAGTTCTGAGATTTATTTAGAAGTTCACAGCAGTCATGTAATCAAGGTGCCTTGTTACCACCTCTAAAATGGAGCACTTGAGATCTGGGCTCCTGAGGGCAGCTACACAGATATTAGCTCATAGTGCTCAGGGGGTGTCTATTTTCCCTGCCTTAACTGGTATGCTACAATTTTCTGTTCTTGGTTTCCAAGCTAACTCTTGTCGGTGAGCCATTCAACTGAAAAGACACATATTGTGCCTCAAACTGTTCTGCAACTCTGTTTAAATTGCAATTAAGATACATTTCTTCCAATTAAAGCTTTTGACCACTTAATTCAAAGGGATTTTAATTAAAATTTAGGGATTTTAATTTTCATGTTCCATTAATTCATAAAAATGCAGTTTATAAATACTCATAAACATGTGCAGAAGGCTGTGCCTTTTCAGACTTTGGCACTGTGGTCCAATATCTTTATGAACTTTGAAACAGACAACATGTTTAAGACTTCATTTAAAAAAAAAGTTCTGTAGAATTAAGCCTTTTAAAATTTTATTGGTGTCTCTGTTTTATATTAATTGTGTTGCATGTCCCCAGATAATTTCACAAAGGGCATTTTAGAAAGGCAAATTCAGCTGATGGATGAATTTCTCTGCAGAGGTTTATTAACATTTTTGTCAATTTATCCCATTAAATACAGCAACATCCCTAGGTGGTAATGAAGTGCAATAGCAGCAGAGGCTTCACACAATGATGGCAAACAGATTCCAATAATTTTCTCAGTAGTGTCTTCATAACACAAGTGAAATGCTGATCTTTATAAGTATGTCTGGGTGAGTAAAAACCCCACACAGATAAAACCCAAAATTTATATTTAAGAATATTAATTTAAAGTGAACGTAGCTCATTACATCCTCAAACTTCAGTAGCAGCCTAGGGCATGGAATTAAGATTAACTAACAGCATTGACAGCAATATTTCCCCTGGTAAAGCGAACATGCCAGAAATTTGTGTAAATATATTTAGAGGCTGACATATAAGGCACATATAGCAGAAACTTGACCCTGAAATCTCACTTTATCTTAAAAAAGGGATAAAACATACAACCACCCCACACTCCAATGCCTACAAATGCCATTAAAATGGTTTCTCTTGATTTCAGCAGGCAGTGCAATAGGATAGCAAAAAAATCTTGAAATTGAAATTTTGACTACTAAATATTTACAACAATGAGATTATGAATAAGTTATATTTCTTCATAGGGATTTTTCAGCAAAGAGCTTCAAATAATTAATTTGAGAAACTGCAATTTATCTTTTTTCAGAAATATCTCAAAAAAAAAATCACTGAATGAATTATTCATTGCAAACTACTCTCTCCGGTGACAGTGACTCCTCATTTTTCACGTCGCAATTTATTTACTTTTACTACATTACTATGTTTTTTTCCTATAACAAAAAAAATAAGTGCTCATAAGATTCGAAGAAATATTATGAATGCTGCACTAAAGAACATATATTCAACTTGTATAAAAACTTTTTGAAACTTAAGGAAAAGAAACTATAATAATAGTTTCTTAAGTAAAAGAAACTATAATAAAATAAGGATAATGGAAAGAAAGTAAGTACTAAAAGGGATTTGAGCTCTGCTAAAAAGCTGATCATAATATTAAATATTACCATAAAAGAAATTAAAAGTATTACTGAAGTTTAAATTATTAGGTTGTTCATAGTCAAGAAGTGGGAAATAAATCTGTTACATTATAGGGGGGGACATTGCCTATGATGTGAAACAGAGAAGTTATACATATTCTCTCCATGTTATCACCTGTAAATTATGATTTTCTACTTATCTACCCATACAGAGTAAAAAAAATGTTTGACTTCTGGTACTTAACATCTTAACAAGGCTATAACTGCTCTCCATCTCCTAACATACCTGTGCCTGCTTGGTGTATCATGATGATTTCCACCAAACAGCGGGCAAAGTGAGTCTTTCAGAGTCTTTCATGTTTGCTTGTTTATTTGTGCATTTGCTTTTAACAGTGACAGACAAAACAGAATTGAGGGGGCTGGTGATGAATAGCATAAAATGTAGAAATGAGAAAGTCTGCCAAATAATGAAGCATCTTCAGTATTCACTTTTCCTTTTGAATACATGTTAGCTACCCCTCCCAGAAATATTATTGCATCAAAGAGTGTCATTTTTCCTTGCTTTGGTGTTTTCTAACATTGACATAGAGAAAAAGACAGCTTATTTTTCTAATTGCAAGTTGTCTTTACTGGTAATGGAAAACATCCACTCCAGTTTCCAAACATAAAAAACCCCGGTCCTTTTATTGCATTTTTCTTGAGAATGAGTGATCAAATATGCACCCTTTTTTTCTTCATCAGAACAGAATAATGTCATCCAAAGCTGAATCATAGCCATAGATTTCTCAAGAAAACCAGTGGTCATTTGTCTATATCTTTGTTTTTCCTGGTTGCAAAATAAATATCAGGTACCAAAAAGTAATTCCTAGTGCCCTTCATTATCAGTTCAGAAGTATCTCCAACAGATAATAACCAAATCCATGTAGCTGTTGTTTAAAAGAATATTTATCTTTTGATGATTTTTCAAGGATTAACAGTTTATAATGTCATTAACCTTTAACAAAACAGCTTCTTATTTTGTGTCTTAACACCAATCCACCATAGAATTTTCTCAAATAAAATCTCACTGAAAAAGCTATCAAGAGCACCAAAATATGATAAATTTAGATAATTTTGAAATATTTGAAGCTAAAAAAATATTTCCATTCTTGGGATTAGATAAAGTATTAGTTTTAAGACTCCTTTTGTGAGCTGAGACTTGCAAAGAAGTTCTAATTCCCATGGATACAATCGAAATAATGATGTTGCACAGCACTGCATTGGTTTTTAACTTCTATCTCCCTATAAGGTCCCCAATTTCCAACTCAGGTGAAATACTTGTGTCTATTCATTCATATAATACAGGAAATGAAAATCAGATTTTTGAAATCATTTGAACACTGAATTAAAGCTGAGAAAGAGAGAACATTAATAAATCCTGACTTACATGTTTGCTTATTTATTTTTAATGTGGGACTGGATCCTAAGATCAAGACAATCAGTATAAACAGCCTCTGGATAAATTTCCATAAGTTTCTGCCCTGGAAAACTCTTAATTAGCTAGTTGGGCAATAAATATATCTTGATGTATTTTTTAGCTGTGAGGATGCTAAGTACTCATGAAATAAATAATATTTTACATTCAATATTGTAATCAAATGAGCACTTTTTAGCAAGCTGATTCTATTTTATTTTTCTTACACTGAGAATTATTAGTGTCAGAATTACAATCAATATAGTATTTTTCCATGAGGGAAATGCACGCTTCTATACAAAGTTAAGAAATTTTGAATATGGTCATATAAAATGACATGTTTTAGTTCATTTCCCACAGTCCAAAATCTATTTTATTTCACAAAAAACTTTTTTATTATAATTTACATTATTATCCACATGCTCATTTAAAAATGATATGCATCAAATAATTTACTTCAATGAGTTTTATGTAGATAAACTGCTCATAAAGTTCTCTGGTTAATCATGAAGAAGAACATATTTCTTGCAGCTGGTATTGGAGGAGAAATTATTCGTAAGACTGTCTATGGGTATATTTCTGACTATTGATTGTTCTGTACAAATTGAGTTCCTCTGATACAGCCATCCTCTGTTTATCTTAGAACAGCAAGGGTCTCTTCATAGACATGGATCAAACATTAAAAATAAAATTATTGATTTTGGAGTGTGGAATGTAAGGGCAGGAACTCCTAAATTCAAAATAGATTAGATGTCCAGGAAAACATTTGAGCTCAGATGAACACAGTGTAAACCCTTTTTAGGCAACTAACTTCCCAATGCATTGACTCAAAGAAAAGTCTATCTATTCCAAATGAGATAAAAAGTCTGAGAAAAAATATTTTAAAAAGGGGGACATAATTAACATTGTGTCCATTAGTATCAGCATCAATTAAAAAAAAATATTGGAGTTTGTTACAAGATAAAATTGATTTTTCTTGCTTAAAAATGATTGATGACTTTTATTTGTTTCCCTATAAAATCTTTTTTATTAATCTCATCCTGACTACTCACATGTAGCCATTAATTAAAATGCAAGATTCAAGAAAAATTATTTTATCTCTCTTATATTCTACCTGGTGACACAAGAATTCATTTCCAGATTGCACTTGGGTACAGGTAATTTTCTTCACTGTGGCTGGAGTGGGACTGTGTTTTGGATCTGTGTTGGGAGCAGTCTGATAGCACAGGGATGTTTCTGTGGTTACTGAGCAGCTCTCACATGTAGACAAGGCCTTTTTGCTTCTCATATTGTCCCACCAGCACAGAGGCTGGAGGTACACAAGGACCTGAGAGGGGTCACAGCTGGGACAGAAGACTGCAATCAACCAAAGCAACATTCCATACCATGTAGTATCATCCTGGGAAAAGGAGGAGGAAGGGGCTGTTCAGAGTGATCATATTTGTCTTCCCAAGTGACCATTAAGTATGGTGGAGATCTGCTTTCCTAGGAATGGTTAAACACACCTGCTTGCCCATGGGAAGTGGTGACTTAATTCTTTGCTTGCCTACATGGCTTTTGCTTTACCTGTTAAACTGTCTTCATTTCAGCCCAGAGGTTCTTCTCTTTTGCACTTCCAGTTCTGTCTCCCATCCCATGAGGGATGAGTGAGTAAGTGGCTGTGTGGGGCTGAGCTGCCAGCTGGGGTTGAATGAACCATGACCAGCTCTCAGAAACATTGCACTTCAGAGACACCATGAACCACTTCATTCCATCTGAATGCGGATATCTAAATAATTCATATGAATTAGACAGAAATTAGTATTCCTTTCCATCTCAGATAAATGGTTTTGGTGGTATTAAGAGAATCCAGACATCCAATGACTTCCTTTGTGAAGTCACTTCACTTTCTTCTCTACAGAGGGGAGAGAGAATAAAAAGAGCATTTATCATAAATACCTGATAACTAATATAACTAAGAAAATACTTGACACGTAGAAAAATCTCAGTGTCTGGAATTTTTCACAGTTAGAAAATAGCAAATACTGAAATTTCTCAAGGAAAATATAGTAAGAGCTGGTGGTGATAAGGAGGGTTGATTTTCTTTGACAAACCACACTTTCTACATTTGTCTAATCTATTGATGTCAGCAGAATAATATATCTGCTTCAAGCACAGCAATGCATTCAGAAAATACACTTGTGGTGATGATATAGAAGCTGGAGCAACCATCCTCAGATATGTAGGTCAATTAGATGTGAATATTAGCATCAACAAAAATTGAAGCATTTTAATCTTATTCATGCAATAGAAAATTCCACCAAAATTAATATCTTCCCAGATATTGGGACTGCTCTAACAGTTTACTGGTCCCAGAAAGAAGGAATCCTTTCCCATTTTTCTTTAATATTAGATAAATATTCTCTTATCTTGCTAACTTATCTGTAGCACATCTGGACACCCATGGAAGCAAACATGAATTTTACAGAAACAAACTTCTTAATTTGTGTCTTTAAGGGCCCAACAAGCACCACAAGAAGTGTTTTTAAACCCCTAACCCAAGAGTAGGAGAGAAAAGGGAGAAAAGTGAGGAAAAAGAGGCACAGAAAGACTCAGAGGCAGAGCCAAGGAGCTGATAAATCACATTGACTGTGATTAAAGCACAGGCAGCTTTAAGACTAGTTAGTTCCACATAGAAGCGTCCTTTGGTTATCAAAGATTTTTCTGATGCAGACTCCCCCTTCATCTTACCCTAATAAAATTTACCTTTATCCAATTCCCACATCTCAACTCCCTGCTACTTCAGGAAAAATCAAATGGCAAGTTAATAAGCAAAAAACCCCAAAAGCATGAAGTCTTTCATGCCTTTTAAAGTTTACCAAGTATCTGAAAATAAGCAGTGAGGTAACTACCCTGCATAAACAAAAGATAATGAATGCTAAAATTTTGCTGATAAACAAGATCATAGTAAGTCAGTCAGTATTTTCAGGTTTTAATCTAGTTCCTTTAATTGCCACCTGATCCCAAAATACCCTGGCCACTTGCTTCTGCCATCTCATTGCCAATTGGCCCAAGCATGATGTAGCAGTGCAAACAGATTATCAGATCAGAGAAATCAGTCCAGTCAAAAAGTTAACCAGAAAAGTACTTTCAGCTGGATCAGTTCCCTGATACTGTTTACCCCCTAGCTGCATAAGCACTTGCATTAGTCCCATTTTCATGGGGTGAGAGCAAGCAGAATGGCTAAAACCTTTAGGCATAATTTCCTCAGAAAGCCAATTTACCTTTCGGGCTGTCTGGACTTTCGTATTTAGAGTGAATTTCTTCTCACTCTGCACAATATGTAGTTCCTTCTAGTGGTTGCTTAGAACTGTAAAAGGCTGTAATCAATACTCTTTGTACATGCTGTTGCAGATGCCAAGTAAGGATGTGGGGAGCAAAAGTTACAAAGAGGAAAAGATGTAGGCTGTAAGGGAATTTGCCATCCTGTAGTTATGGGAAGTAGTTTCAATGTTTATGACGCTGATTATGACCAAACCACACAGAAACAACCTAGGCAAACGATAAGTTTCTTTTTCAGGTGCTCATTTTAAGTTTCTTCAGTAGCTGTTTGATTCTTGAGTAGGGGTTGTGTTATTCAAATTGTGTATTGAATTAAGAATCAAATAAAGCTCTCTAAATTTTATATCAGTTATACTACGAATTAGTAAAAAAAAAAAATCCCTCCTGCATAATGTCTTTGTTCCTTGCAAGAAAAAAAAAAATACCACACACTTGGAATAAAAACCAGCCATTTTTCAGTCATGTAGTGATAATAATACTATTAATGTTGGAATATTTTGACATATTATTTTCATTCCAGTCAGAATAAACCCTTGAAATATACAAATTTTAACAGCAGTAGAGTTTATTTGGTACTTCTTGTTTTGTAAGCAAATGTATTTCAACAAATATGTCATAAAATTACAGCTCATAGAAGTATAATAGGTGCTTTCCTGAACAAGTTGAGAGCTCTTATCCAAAAGGTTCATGATGACTCAACTTGACCTTTCATTGTAAAATAGCATTGGACTTCTGCCATGTTATAGATACTCTTCTTGTAAATATCCAGATGTCCCCATTAGTTTCTAGAGGTTTTTCACCAGGCAGAAAACAGTGAAAGTGGTTATAGAAACATATGCTCTCTTACCACAAAAGTAAAATATTCAATGATGTTATAAGTGTTCTGAAAGTTCTTGACAGAGGTTTCAATAAGTACTTGTGCAACATCTATCACACATATGCATATGTGTGTATGCATTTGTGTAGCAAGCTTTTAGCTGAAAATTTTCATTTGGTTTTACATAAAGAAACACAGCAAAAAATTAGTTTGATCAACATGTTGCAGAGTACCAGACAAGAACATTTTAGAACAGTTTCCTTGTGCATTCTGTAGATTCCTGTCCTAATTCCACTGTATTTAGGGCACCTAGTTATATATTTTATGAAGACAGAGAAAAGCATGCTTAAGGTGATTGGATTAGATTATTAAACCACCAACCTTTGCTTCAAATTTTTCACGGTTGTCACCCCAGCTGACAACTAAGCTGCACACAAATGCTTGCTCATTTCCCTACCAGAACTATCCAGTGTGATGGGGCAGAGAATCAGTAATGTAAAAACTAAAGAACTCATGGGTTTAGATAAACATTAATAGGGAAAGAAAAAGCCATGTGCACAAACAAAGCTAAGCAAGGAACTCATTCACCACTTCCCATGGGAAGACAGGTGTGTTCAGCTATTCCTGGGAAAACAGGCTTCAATCCTGCACAACAGTGGCTTGGAAAGACAAATATCACAACTCCAAATGCTCTTCCCTTCCTTCTTCACCCACCTTTTTATACCGAACACGATGACATATGATGCTGAATATCTCTCTGGTCAGCTGGGGTCGGGTGCCCTGGCTGTGTCGGCTTTGTGCACCCCCAGAGTCCTGGCCAGCAGAGGGAATGAAAAGCAGAGTGGGCCTTGGCTCTGTATAAGCTCTGTTCAGCAGTAACATCTCTGGGTTATCAAGACTATTTCCTTCAAAAATCCAAAACACAGTCCCACGCCATCTGTTGTGACAAATATTAACTCCGTAATAGCCAAAGTCAGCACAGTATTTCATCCAGGAAACGCCTGGTCTATAGTCTTTTAAAACAGAGAAGAAAAAAAGTGAGACACTGACATAAAATTACCAGAAAATTAGCACACCAAGCCAGGGAGGATGCATATATTCAACAAGTACATATTAAATGGAAAGATTACTTGTGTATCACCATGACTATGGTGTGAAATCATGGTACTAGCCCATGATCTTCAGAACTGCATTTAAATCCATGTAAGCTTATTGTTTGGAATGCAATTACAGAGATCTTCCTCAATGTAATTGGAAATTTTTAAATTTAAAAATAAATATGATTCTATTTACAAATATTTCTGACTCTTCTAAATGTTTATTCACTGATAAGGGACAAATCACTACCACAAGTTTCTCTGCTGATGTTTAGAATCCACCTGTAAAACACAGAAGTTGTTTCTACTACCTAATTTTCAAATAAAGACTGAGAACATTTTAAAGAGTATGAAAATGAATAGGTTCAAAACACATACAAGGCCTGTGCTTTTGACCTTACTAAATCTGTAGAATGTTGGCTTGCTAAGTTGCTAGTACCTTCTATTATGAAAATAATTAATTCTGATGTCAGCAGGACTCTTCCCCAAACTCTTTCCTTTTGACAGAAGCTCCATATTAAAAAAAAGAGATTGTTCCTTTCACATGCAGTAGTGTGAAGATATGACCTTTGAAATTCCTTGTAGAATTCTGGCAAAGAGCTGCAAGAGAAACAAGAAAATGTCCTCAGCATGGTGCAGCTCACATTTCACAAACACTTCAGAAAACAGGATATAGTTTTCTCATGGGCACACCTTCAGCTCATTACAGAGAACAAACTGTGAGCACTGCTCACAAAGCAAAATGAAAAAATTAATTATATGACAAGTGTTAATATCTTACTGGAAAGGAGCAATGCCCAAATATCAATTAAAAATCTGCCTTATTGTAGGAGACTGGTTAAATCTTAAAGAACAAAAAAAAAATCAAAACCTTAGTGTGAGAGAAAACTCATCCTTTTTTTGATCCAATTACAACACTTTGTAATATTAAAATGAGTCAACATTTTTCAAGCAGAGAGCTTCAGAGCTGAAAATCAGGTCTTTATATGATTAAGAAGTTTTCATGGGAGTTTTTATTCCCATGAATAAACAACTCTGTCATTGTGATAAAAAAGTAATTTCTAGCAGGATATTTTAATATATATAGGTATATATAATATACCTAATATATAAACTCAATTTTAAATTTAGGAATAATACAGAGTTGAAAAAAAATTAAAGCCATATAATGTGCTTTAGCCTGTTCAAAGAATCAGATCAACCTTAGTTCAATTTCAGTGAATGTTGAAATTGTAAAATAATAACAAACTGGAAACACTCATATGTCTTAATATTTCACATAAATATCATGTCAATCAACAAAATCCAAGATGTCTTTCATTGGTTATTTCACCTTAGCAGACACTTCAGTATCCAGAAAGGCACTTGCTGCCACTTGCAGCAAAATGAAAATGTCTCTAGCCTGCTCAATTGATCTTTCACTTCCAATATTCCCATTAGTGTAATCAAAATAAAATGTTGCTGCCATGGTAAGAAAGAAAAGGACTGATCTCCTCCTGCTGCAGGAGATGAAGCAGGAGGATGAGGAAAAAAAGACATACTAGAGAAAAAAACATTATCTGGCTTTTTGCTTGTGTTGATGCTCTTGCAGGTTACTTCCTCCCTTGACTTGCAGTCATCAGTCCTACACTGCAATCTCTGCCTCAAAAGCATAAACAAAGTCAGCTTTTTTAGGAGGTGGATGGCAGGTCTCTTGTTGAAGGTGAAAGGTCGTTGAGATCTTGAAGAATCTAACCAAATTTTGATAGCCGTGCAATGGCTATGCAATGGCCTGCAAATGCAGGAAGGAGATGGACATATGCCAACAATATTAAATAAAAATAAAATCTGTATATTCTTTGCAATAATTTTGGTCCCAAAATAAAATTGGCACATTTTTGAATATAGTTTGATAATAATCAAAAAATCTTGTCATTAGATAGGAATCATAAATGTCTTCAGTCATAGGACAACTTCTTATGTTGAGCTTGTATGACAAATCCTTAGTATTATTTTTAAAATTTTATCTGTTCTTATCTTTGTATAAAAGCTAGGCTTGCTGTCTTTACGCCTTTGAGCTTTTTAAATTAAATAATCCAAATAATTTTACAAACTCTCTTCTTATAAAAACCTGGGTTTTTTAATGCTCATCAATGTACTTATTTCCTGTCCCTAAACTTGTCTAATTTTTTAATTTCCTTTTCAAAGCAAGGCAACTCATATTGCAAGTAGGATTCCAAATTAGTCTGCATCACTGATTTGTATAGAGATCTTTATAGAGCATTTATTCACAGCAGAAAACAAAAAAAAATTAGTGTAAAGAGAATGAAAATAAATCCATTTTCCAAATCAATCTCATAAATTTTTTGCAGCATTAGCACAGGTCTCTGGCTGAGAGCTCCCATTTCTATTGTCATTTTATAATTATGTGGGAAAAAAAGGCATTTTTTCACAATACAAGTGGAGTAACAATCTCTCTTATTGAACGACACTGTATGTCAAGTAGTGTGCAGTACTCATCTGATATAAATCTGAATACATAGTTTGAAAACAACATTGGTAGGAAAGCATAGCTCTTGTCTCTACTGCTCTCCTAAATGCACAAATTTTGTTTAGTTTAACATTTTGAGATTATAACCACCCATTCAGTTAAGGTATCTTTATATACAATCTACTGGATGAAAAAAAACTGCTTGCTTAAATATTTATGAAAACAAAATGCCAATAAATAAATAAATAAATAAATAAATAAATAAATCAAGCTCTTTTGGTGACTTCCGTGGTGACTTCGCATATAATATTAACTGGATATCAAATACCCACCTTTTAGTTTAACAGGCAGAAAGTTTTGCCTTTCATTAAGTTTTCCATCTTTTTATCTGTAGGAATTGATACATCTGTGTTTTGAACAAGAAACTTTTTCACTCTATCTCTCCATTTTAACAGACATTGTTACTAAATTCACAGAAAATATTAGCATATCCTATTAGCCTAATTGGATAAAAAACCCTACACCTGTGATATTTGTAAGTGATTAGTATTGCATTTCTTCACTGATGGATTCAGTTTCATGTTATGGCAACTAAATATAACAGAGGAAAAAACTGTCCTCTGTTTCCATTGCATAAGAATTGTTACTGCTTATGGGCTCCATGTGCATTTGTGTATCAACTTCAGAAGAAACTGTTAAATTGCCTGGGAATGTTCCCATCAGCCTTGCAGCCCAACAAGGGAGTGCCAGAAAGTGGTAGCACTGTCTTTTTTCCTGTCAAATTGATAACATACAACTGGTAAAGGACTGAGCAAAACATCTCTGTTTTCATTAGACTATACTCCTGCTTTCTCTTTTTATTTTTTTTTCTTGTGTATGTTCAGCTCTATGTATACAAGTTATATATGTCATATATAAGTGTATTAAGGTGTGTATATTTAATATATATAGGCAAATAGATTGCATCTAAGGATTTTCTGATGAAAATGTTCTGGAAAAAGCATGCTGCACTGGGTGCTTTGCAATACTAACTCTGTCCTTTTCTCGGTTGGAGTCTGTAGAAAGTGTAGTGTATTAGTATATTTATTTCATGAAGCATATTAAGCACATAATAATATAGATATTATTAATACTTCACAGATTTATACAGTTCATATTGGATGTACCTTTATATTATTCCTAGCCAATGAATCTGACACAGGTCACCTTCTTCATCTCAGGCCAAATTACTCAGTCCAAAACAGTTTCTGCATCACTACTCCCAGTTCCACAGCAGAGAGTAACAGAAGGAGCATCAGGCATCCACAGCACTCCTCCAGCAGTTGGCTTACTTTTAGGGTCTAAAGAAAGATAAAATTGTCAGAGTTATAGCCAATTAAATCAATTTATGAAGAAATGTAGGCTTATACCAGAAATTTTCTTAGATTACAAACTGATAAAATTGGCACATATTAGTATATACTATCAATTTATAAATTAAAACAAATTATTAACAATGGAAGTCAATCAGTTCTTAGGACTTCTATAACAAATAAAGACAGATAAGGCTCTCCATTAGGAGAGACCTCTGAAGACAAATAATTATATGAAGACTAAAGGAACTGCTCCTTTTTTGTTCTGAATACAACCACGATTTTCTGGAAAGTGACATAATATATTTGTCTTTAATTAGTGAGTGGGCAATCTACAGGGGGTAAGCTAGTCACAATGCTTCTCTGCAGGGAATCCAAATGCCTTCATAAGCAGAACAGAAAAGAAAAGAGGACCTAATCCTGTGCAGAGAATCAGAAGTTGAATATATTGTCAGTTTTTTAAGTAACCCACTAAAGTATTAGAAGTTATGTCATAATAATTTCTTGAAACTTCCTATCAGTGGACTCAGAACTGAATTGATTTCTTGCTGTAAGATGAATTAGAGGATAGAGGCCTAGAAGACTTTTGTCTTAATCTAATGTACTGATAAATGTAATAATCTAAATTACCAAGTAATTTAATTTATTAATGTGCATGTTGAGCAGAGTTATTAGACAGCAAAAAACCTTCAGTATCTAATTCACAATTATCCAACACAAGTACTGAAGGGAATGATTCATTTGCTTTCAGATAGATTGTAGTTTTCCCTTTCTCTACTAAAGGGTATGTCTCCACCTCATTGACTTATGTGATTTAACCAAGATTAAACAATCTGCCTACAACTATAAAAAACATTTCTGGCGGACAGCCTAGGCATTGCAACTCCATGGTTCCTGTTCTTATCAGAAATCAGCCTTCTGTTCCTTATCTAGATTTAGTCCAATCTCCTAAGGAGTTCAGTCTGGCTTGTTGAAGTGTGTGGATAGAAGCAGCACTTTGGTGGTGCTTTCATTCAGACCACACTCACTCAGCTGCACATTCAGTTGAAGATTTTCTCATGAAAAAATTTCCACTTCAATGACAGATTGAGATCTGCCTTTTAATTATTAATCTACCATCCAGCAGATAACACATGTTCCTTCTGTAATTGCTCTTTTCATACATTAATCCTAGTGAGGCAATTTCCTCTTTGTCTCTTAGGCCATCTACTACTTCTCATCAAGAATTCTGCTTGCAAATAGAACAGATTATTTGCATGAGTGTAGTAGACCAATAGTACTGAACTATGGTAAAACACTGGTTCAGACAAAGTCTGGGGAAAGGCTAACAAATACAAAGTTAAAGCTTTCTGACAAATATACAAAGCAATAATTACCTGCGTCTCTCCAAACAGCTATAATTAGCTGGACCAGAGCTAATAATTTTATGTCATCTGGTGATCTTCTGTGCTAGCATTTAAAAACACACCCAAAGGCTTTGTCATCAGACAATATGTTTAAAGAACCGTTTCTCTTTACCCTTATTACCACAAAATGTCGTAAGTTGTCATCTCTCAAAAGAATACCTGCATAGCAGCAACACCACACTTTTAAATAAATCAGCAAAAAAAGCTTCGTCATTTACAGCCATTACTTGGCTTCTGAGTGGATGGGTTGTACCTCTTTTCTAAATTATTTTAAGATTTCAATAGCAAGGAAAGCAACAGAAGGGAACAGTGAAAGGAAAGTTGTTTGGTGTAGGAGTTGTTAGGGTACAAAATACAAAACATGGCAAAAGTACTGCTGCGTAATCTGCGGGTAGAAAGACTCCTGTTACCCACTGAAAGTGTTACTGATGTCTTACCTGTCTGAATAACAAATGTGACATGCAGGGAATGCAAATTCAACAATCATTTTCATTTTGTGATTTCATGGAGTGAGGAGTGTGCAATAGAGCATCAAATAAGCAAAGAAAATCTAAGACCATTCAGAGAAAATTTACTCATGCCTTATCAAAGGTAAATGTGTTCCCACAAGTATTTCCAGTAATATATTTTAAAAAAAAAAAAAAAATTATCCTTTAATTTGAGCATATTTTCCAAATATGAAATACATTACTGATCATGGCATGATCCCTGCCTTCACTTCGTTTGCAAGCTCATATTGAAAACTAATACCTACCTAATATTTGTGAAAAACCCAATGTTTTTGTTTTATTTTAAATAAATAATCTTAAACATGAGCTTATTAATGACATTAGGCATAAATCTTCCCAACAGATGAAGTTCTTAAAGGTAATAATCATTAGGAACACAATACTGTCTCATTTTTATAAACAGTCCAATGGCTCAGAAACTTGTGAATATATCCTTAAATATATCACTAAGAAAGTCGCATGAAAAAAGATTTAAAAGTGAGTATTTTTCAATTTTTATTTTAAATACTTTCTTAAGGAGGGTGTTTTTCTTTCCTACAACCAATATATTTTTTCTTTCCTTCAAATGCCAAAGGTAGACAAAAGTGAAGAATAAGCTGGGTATAACTGGGCTCAAGAAGAGTTGTTCTAGCTTTTCTTGAGAAAGCAAGGCACTCTTTAGGCAATTGCTTGGATAACTACATTGTAGGCAGAGGGGACATGGATGAGGGAAATGTGCAACAGGAAAGTCTCAAAGAAGAAGAAGATGAAACACATGGGAAATTCCAAGGAATGTCAGTTTTCAGATGGCTTGCTGAAGAAAGTGTGGTGAGACAGTAATTAGATGGCATTTAGAAAAGGGTCACAAAACTTGGAGATATTCTGGAGGTTACAAAAGTTCCTTCTCTGTGGGGCATAAGCCTGTGGTGACAGATTAATACAGTCCATTCTCATTCATAACCATTGTTTCAAATGTCTCTGTAGACAAATGGCTGAAGATTACCCACCCAAGAGAATGAGAGAGAGAGAAATGAGGTGAGGTAGATAGAAAAGAGAGAGGAAAAGGGAGAAGAAGAGGGGGTTAAGATTAGAGGGGCTTGTGCCAATATGACCCAATATAAACCTACACACACACACACAAAAAAAAAAAAAAAAAGGAAAAAAAAAGTGGATTTTTCAGGTGTGAAAAATCAAAAAGGAAAACTATGGGCATTTTATGATGCGTGCCTTATTAGATGTAGCTCAGGTGATAGTCCTGAGGCCACCTGTGTGCTGCAATTTGACTACTGTGAAACCAAAGTTAGGACAGTGTTCTCAATGTGTGACTTCAATTTTAAAGCTCAACAGGGACACAGGGTGTTATTGGTTATTGTCCTGCCTACATGACGTGAAGTCAACTGTATTAAATTAAAATATTTCCAGGAATCACCAGAAGACCACTGAGCACACTACACATATCTTGGACCTCATAGATAAATATAAATATTTATATTTCAAATGTAAATATAAATATAAAACCTGTAGAAAAGAGTTTGATGTTTAACAATGGCCTATATTAAAAAGGAAAAGGGAAAAAAGAAAAATCACTCATATAGTTATGTATTTGAATTCTATTTTAGAGCAGGTAGATATGTTTGATGAAATTACCATTTTAAGACTGAAATTTATATATTACAAGGAATGCAAAATCTAATTATTTTCATGGTAAGTCTTCTTGAACTTATAATGTTTAGCAGAAAGTTATTTCAACCTTTACTGTACCTCCATCAATTTTTCAGTCATTTGTATCTATCTGGTTGGTAAATTAAAATTTTTCAGAACAGTTTCTGATGCATGCATATTCTTGATTGCAAGGTGAGATCTGTGTAGGTATAGAAAAACTTTTAAAAAAAGAGGTGCTGGTTAAACACTGCAAAAAGACTTTAGTTTCAAACACTTTTTAGGTGAGTTGAACTTTCCATATAGTGTAGTGGGTTGACTCTGGCTGGATGCCAGGAACCAAGTAAATATATTCTATCACTTCCCTCTGCACCTGGATAGGGGAGAGAAAATATAACAAAGGGTTCATGGGTTGAGATAAAGACTGGGAGAGAGCACTCACCAAATACTGTCACAGGAAAAACATTCAAATTAGAGATATTTATTAAATTTGTTACTAACATAAATAAAGCAGGATAATAAGAAAGTTAAACAAGACCTTAAAAATATCTTTCTTCCACCCCTCCCTCCTTCCCAGCTCTACCTCCTGCCCCAGGCAATGCAGGAAGATGGGAACGAGAGTTATGGTCAATGATCACACACTGCTCGGAGAGAGGAATCCTTCCCCTGCTCCAGCATGGGGTGTCTCCCACAGGAGATAGCCTTCCATGAACTTCTCCAGCTTGAGTCCATCCTATTGGCAACATTCTTCCCCAAACTGCTGCCATGTGGGTTACCCTTCCATGGGGTGCAGTCCTTCAGACACAGCCTGCTCCAGCATGGGTTCCCTACAGGCTCTTGCCAGGAAACCTGATCCAGTGTGGGCTCTTCTCTTCACAGGTCCACAGGAAACTTTCCAGGAGCCTGATCCAGCGAGGGCTTCCCACAGAGCCACAGCCTCATCTCAGGCAGACATCTTCGCCAGTATGTACCTCCACCGAGTGGATCTTTGCACCCCCATGGACCTGCAGAGGCTGCAGGGGCACGGCCACTTCACCATGGGCTGCGCCATGGGTTGCAGAGGAGTCTTGGCTGAGGTGCCTGGAACACATCCTGCCCCTCCTCCCTCACTGGCCCTGGTGTCTGCAGGGCTGTTCCTCTCACGTGTTCTCGCTCCCCTTTGCTCTGGCCCCAATTACAACCTCACATTAACATTTTTTCTTATTAAATAAGTTATCACAGAGGTGTAATCACAATTTCTAATTGGTCCAGTCTTGGCTAGTGGCACATCCATCTTGAAGCTGCCAGGGATTGGCTCTGTTGAGGTGGAAGGGCTTTTGTTAGCTTCTCACAGAAGCTACCCCTTTAAAGACCCAGTATCAACACCTGGCCATAGAAGCCCAATACAGATGCAAAGTATTTTTGCTGAAAGAACAAGATTACATTTCT